AGGCCCAAAATTGGGCACGGTGTGTGTGTGTGGCATGCCCCCTGCCCCTGAGGCCTTTTTTGCTTCCAGGAGGCTGCAGGGAGGCCTACTAGGCCCAAAACGGGGCACGGTGTGTGTGTGGCATGCCCCCTGCCCCTGAGGCCTTTTTTGCTTCCAGGAGGCTGCAGGGAGACCTACTAGGCCCAAAATGGGGCACGGTGTGTATGTGGCATGCCCGCCCCCCCTGCCCCTGAGGCCTTTTTTGCTCCCAAGAGGCCTACTAGGCCCAAAACGGGGCACAGGGTATGTGTGGCATGCCCGCACCCCCCCTCCCGCCCCTGAGGCCTTTTTTTCTCCCAGGAGGCTTCAGGGAGGCCTACTAGGCCCAAAACGGTGCACAGTGTGTGAGTGTGGCATGCCCTCCGCCCCTGAGGCCCATTTTTCCTCCCAGGAGGCTGCAGGGAGGCCTACTAGGCTCAAAATGGGGCGTGGGGTGGTAGTCGCGCTCGCATGCTTGCGGGGTGGGGAGAAGCCCAAGGGGGTCACACACGTATGAGCAGGGTGCAGGGCACGTGGATGGGTGTTACATATGCATTGCATTATTTTGGCATGCGGCGACAAAAAGTTTAGCCCTCACTGGAATATAGAATAACAGAGTTGGAAGGGACCTTGGAGGTCTTCTAGTCCAGCCCGCTGCTCAGGCAGGAAACCCTACATCATTTCAGACCAATGTTTGTCCGGTCTCTTAAGTTCTTCTTTTCTCGTGGGTTATACTGCAGAAGCAGAAATCAAGAAGGTTCCTTTGTGACCCACCACTGTTTGTACCTCAATTCTTTTAAAAAACACCCGAGTTAAGAATCACCAGCCAGGGAGCCCCATGTATTACATTTCCTTTCCCCTCCTGGAGTCTTTCCCGTCTTTGAAAAGAGATTCGGTTTTTCCCGAAAAGACCGGGAGGGCCTTTGAAGTTGCGTGTGACTTTTCTGTGCGACACAACAATCCTCTTATACAATACAGTAGCAGAGTTGGAAGGGACCTCGGAGGTCTTCTAGTCCAACCCCCTGCCTAGGCAGGAAACCCTATACTGTTTCAAACAAATGACTATCCAACATCTTCTTAAAGACTTCCAGTGTTGGGGCATTCACAACTTCTGGAGGCAAGTTGTTCCACTGATTAATTGTTCTCACTGTCAGGAAATTGGCACTGGAGGCTAAAACATATGAAGAACAGTTGCAGGAACTGGGTATGTCTAGATTAATGAAAAGAAGGACTAGGGGAGACATGAATAGCAGTCTTCCAATCTCTCAGGGGCTGCCCCAAAGAAGAGGGAGTCAAGCTATTCTCCAAGGCACCTGAGGGCAGAGGACAAGAAGCAATGAATGGAAACTAATC